GGCTATGGGGGCTATAGGTGGGCATGGGGGCTATACAGGGGGGGCTATTGGGGCCTATACAGGGGTGCTATAGATGGGTATAGGTGCTATACAGGGGAGCTATAGGTAGCTATGAGGGCTGTACATGGCTATGGGAGCTATAGATGGGCACCGGTGCTATATATGGGGGCTATAGGTGAGCATAAGGGCTATACATGGGTGCTATACATGGCTATGGGGGTTATACAGGGGTGCTATAGATGGGTATAGGTGCTATACATTGGGGCTATAGGTGGCTATGGGGGCTATACGTGGGGGCTATAGGTGGGCATAGGGGCTATAGGTGGGCATAGGGGCTATACAGGGGTGCTATAAATGGGTATAGGTGCTATACATGGGGGCTATACATGGCTATGGGAGCTACACATGGGTGCTATAGATGGGTACAGGTGCTATATATGGGGCTATAGGTGGGTATGGGGCCTATACATGGGTGCTGGAGGTGGGTGTGGGTGCTATACACAGCCATAGGTGCTATACCTACGTGCTATACATAGGGGTGGGTGCTATATGTAGCTATGGGTGCTATACATGGGTATGGGTGCTATACGTAGGTGCTGTAGGTGGGTATGGGTGCTATACGTGGGTATGGGGGGGCTATACATAAGTGCTGTAGGTGGGTATGGGTGCTATATGTGGGTATGGGGGGGCTATACATAAGTGCTGTAGGTGGGTATGGGTGCTATATGTGGGTATAGGTGCTATACATGGGTATGGGTGCTATACATAGGTGCTGTAGGTGGGTATGGGTGCTATACGTGGGTATGGGGGGGCTATACATAAGTGCTGTAGGTGGGTATGGGTGCTATATGTGGGTATGGGTGCTATACATGGGTATAGGTGCTATACGTGGGTATGGAGGCTATCCATAGGTGCCGTAGGTGGGTATGGGTGCTATATGTGGGTATAGGTGCTATACATGGGTATGGGTGCTATACATAGGTGCTGTAGGTGGGTATGGGTGCTATACGTGGGTATGGGGGGGCTATACATAAGTGCTGTAGGTGGGTATGGGTGCTATATGTGGGTATGGGTGCTATACATGGGTATAGGTGCTATACGTGGGTATGGAGGCTATCCATAGGTGCCGTAGGTGGGTATGGGTGCTATATGTGGGTATAGGTGCTATACATGGGTATGGGTGCTATACATAGGTGCTGTAGGTGGGTATGGGTGCTATACGTGGGTATGGGGGGGCTATACATAAGTGCTGTAGGTGGGTATGGGTGCTATATGTGGGTATGGGTGCTATACATGGGTATAGGTGCTATACGTGGGTATGGAGGCTATCCATAGGTGCCGTAAGTGGATATGGGTGCTATATGTGGGTGCTATATGTGGGT